TCTGAAAGATATTTATCGTCACGACTGACGATTACCTGTGGGTCTGTCATCTGATCAAGGTTTATCTACGAAAATTTAAGTCACTAACATTAATGAGATCAGCATGAGCACCGTCGATGAGCAGCGTTATTAGAGCACTGAGAAGGCATTTGCTGATCACCGAAACAGTCATTATTTCGCTCTTTATTCGACACTGAAACTAACATTTCTCGTTCATCCAGTTTTCACCTCATTCATCAGAAGTGGTGATAGGATTCTGCACAGTTCACTAGGATATTTTTCTTTAAAACCTACCAGCATACCTACGAAACTCCTGAATCTAAGAAAAATGCGTGAACAAGTTCCGATTCTTGACTGCATGACTTTGAAAGCGACAGAAACTTGTACTACGATAAAATTATATTACGACTACCTATGAAATTATATTACTAAGATTATATTACTCAAGTAAAGTAGTATTACGACTACCTACGAAAAGAGATACCAAACTTCGCATCAAAAAAAAATCTGTAACGATGGATCTATACTCCGTTGCTCAAATCCATAACTCGCTTTCAAACTGCGTTAAATGAATTTTGATGCTATATTCATTTTCGCAGTCACACTTCCCCCAAAACAGCTCTTGTCTCACGTCATGTATCGTGACCCGCTAATGCGCCTTTCCTTTCATACAATTCGCTGCATGTAGCGAACAAGTTACTGGAGCATGACTCCTACATACAACTTATCTCACTATCTCACCGCTGCTAAACTTTATATCCAATAACCCCATCGAACCACTTACCTCCAATGTATACAACTCAAATAAACGAATCACAAACACAAAATGATTTGTGAAATAAATTTACAGTGATTTTACATAGATTACACTGGAATGCGTTGACCTATTGAGAATGAATTTTTGCCAGCATATTTTGCCAGTATTTGCATATTTTCGCCAACTTGCATCGGATGAAAATAACGATAGTCATGATTCAGTGAACCACAAGACGACGCATCGATGCGAGAACCATCCCGTCAAAATGATTAAGAATTATTCGTTCCGAAACCACCTCATGCTGAGGATTATTTTATCGAGCCGCCCTGTTATCGAATCGAATTTCATTCTTCTTGATTCATGCATCACCGTGAAATGTGCATCCATCTTTTTGTAATCCTCATGTCTCGATCACCAATCAGCAACGTGGCATGGAAAGCCGTCCTTTTACACATACACCACACTGAAATACAGCAGTTCTAAGATATCATCAATGTATGTATTTCTTCCGCTGAACACCCTCAGTTGAAAGATTATGTTCACTGATTTAATTTATGCAGCAGCAAACACAGCTCATAACGAATTTGTTATTAGCAATATATCACATTTTCCATTCCTTGACATACTTTTTTACGCACAGCAAACGAAAATAGCGCTGTAAATCATCTGTCGCCATGAAATCCTAACATGGATATTGATTTGGCGAGCATATGGGCGTAGTGCTATTCTCCCACATTACCCAATGATTTCCGAGGAGAGGGACTCAGAATGAGCCCGAAAGTACACTTTGTTTGATCGGTTGAANATGTGCTTATGAAATTATATTTGACTTGCTCACAGCACATTGAAAGTTCGCTGATTTATCGACAATTATTCGAAAAAAATTTATTGAATAAAAGATTGCAAGCAAACAATGCACAAAAGCTTAACTGATTAAATGGAATAACAAACTCATAATGAATACAAAATGTATCATATCAAATGCAAATATACGAAAAAAGAATATGATTACAAAAGTAATAAATGGAAACGATTTACATATGCAAAATAATATTGCCGATATAAACAAATCGTGATGGATAAGTGGAGCTCTTCTATACAACAAATAATTATTAAAAAGAAAGTAAATATAATAGGAGGAAATGAAGGGCGTTCAATTAATCATCTGCTAAATGGATTTCCATTTAACTGAAGCAATCTAGAAATGAACGTTTAAACAAGCAAATGAAGAACGCAAAAATTTTATAGCAAAGTGTCACCCATCGATTTTGAGCATCATATGGAGATATTTGCAATTTAAGAGTTTGTAGTCTTTCAAGTGCTTCACATTGCCTGTTTGAACGAACTGAAATGCGAGTGAACTAAAGAATGCAGTGAACGGATGATTGGTCAGAGGATGAATGCAAGTGAATTCATCTAAAGATGAATGCCAGTGAATTCAACCAGGTGACGGGAGATAACGACGGAGGTGTTGAATGGTAATGAGATAGGTCGTTTTTAAGGGATCAAATTGAAGAGGGATATGGAATTGGATGAAAGTGATTTGAGTACAAATCAAATAATAGTACAAGACGGAATACAATGCAGCATAATTCGCTTAAAAAAACAAAGTATCAAACATACAAAAAGTTGAGTCGTCGATGCAAAGAAGAATTAAGAACGGTAAACGGAAAACACAAAGTTGGTATTGTGTCGCATAGCAGTGAAATAATAATGTGAAAAACAAATCTATTGACAATATTCGTTTCGTAAAGATCAAAGAGGGTATACGTGATCGATGTAAATAACAAAAACAACTTTGATAATAACATCATTACTGTTATTAATGAGAATAGTAAAAAATAACAAAGATGTTAGCAGTAATAATGACATGAAAACATACATTCAACATAAAACAGGCAGCGAATGGCGCTTCATTAAATCTCATAATTCAGAGAGGATTGCTTACGAAAGGAATAACTTTGGTTGCAATAGTGTGTTGAAAATATTGCAAAATAAACCAAGTACATACGTCTATTGCTTAACAACAAGTAGCTAATTGCATTAAGTGATTTCCCATATCCTCACGAAACCTACGACTGTGATCAGATTCGAACTTGATCAAATAAGCAATCAAAAAAAATCAGTGAACGTTCAAGTAATAAATCATAAAAGAACAATTTTCCATCCTAAAATTGTGCAAAATAAATAATACTCGGATCGGAAGTGCTTTTTTTGATGGGAGTGAATAATTTAAGGAATAAATGAGACTAAAGTCGACACTCAAACTTGTTGAAGCATAAACGAAAAAAGGATATCGCTGATCGTTGGGTCGATTACGGACGAGCGATGATGGTTCAACGACGACAGAACAAACAACGTAGAATTGACAGTACGAATGAAGCGAGCATGATCACTGCTACTACGGCCAACACCACTATTACCCACGTCTGAAATGATTTCACGATTAATTAAATGCATAATTTTACTATTAAAACAACAACAACGATCGCGTATCACCACAATAATAATGACGAGAATAATATGGCAATTTACTAATGAAACTAGTGCATTTGAACACTGATGAAACGTTTGTTGCGTAATGAAAGAATAATTATATGAGAGGAAACTAATTCAAGAGATGAACAAATCTTAAATCATTACTTTTTATGTTGTAAATATTCAAAACATGAAGAAGATAAGTTTGAGTTTATCGCGCTATTACAGTCAAGATAATCGTTAAGAATAAAACTGCTGCATGAGAACATCAAAACAAGTGTATTGAGCAGAATGTTAATCTAATGCATAGATCGAACAGAACAACGTTCATTACGCATTCATCTTGTTCACGGACTCACAGCGCTAATTTCGACAAGATAAACGATTCAATTCAATCACTGAATACACAAAGCCACAAGGCAACTAAACCGCATCATAAATCACCAAAAGCGCATTCATCGTAAAATTGGAATCGCTTTTGTTAACGATTACTCATTACGCTCATCTAAGCCAGTGGACACAATTTATCGCAGTTCTATTATTTCTCAATTCTAGTTGTTTCAGCGTTACACTACGATTCTAATGTCGTTAAGCACCAAAAAGTTAGTCGCATAATTTCTAACAACAACTGTACTGTGGATAAAATTTCTGATAAAGTTGAAAAGTCGATAAAATTTCTAACAAGTGAGCAATGCTGGCAAAAATCGGTAGCAAATTCAATACTCAACATTAATTCAGCTCAACATTGGAGGAGCAGTGAATGAACTCAGAAGTGATCGCGTTACCTGAAGATTGAAGCAGCAGTCCTTATTGGCCGTTCCACAGCATTTATAATAATGGAAAATGCTCGATGAAGGGCACTGCGTTCCAACCAATGCAACTGGACACCATGTGGCACCATCCTTAACAAAACTTTGTACAATACAAAAACACGTGGTGGCAATAGAAAGCAATGGTTTCGGCAAAATATTCCAAAATTCGGTGAATTTCTTCATAACATATTTTATGCGAACCGAAAACAAAAATCACAGAAAAATTTTAGTGTTTTTTAGAATGAGAATGAGAATATTTTCCACGAAGTCGGAAATAAATTTCAGTATTGAAGTTGACAACAACAATTAACACATAAGTTACGAAAATGAAAAATAAACAGCCGAAATGCGATAAATTAGAAAGGCGAACCTTTGTCGAGGTAACTTCGTGAACAGCGTCTTCAACGTCGTTAGATAACGCGAACGCAAACATTGCAAAAAGCGTCAATTGGAAGAGCATTTTGACTATTGCTTGTTTGGTGAAGCAAAATTTGAAATAACTACTGAAACTATTCACCGAACCATTATCATTATGCACTCACTCGCGTTTACCGTACTCATCAACCTTCGATCACGCTCACGGAACACATCATCAGTAATATTCCAACAGACAATCTATTACATCGCTAACGAACACCATTCGAAACATCAATCATCAAACGGCCAACAATATTTATCATTGATAGAATATCATAGATTGTTAATAATATCTTCTTCGCAAATGCATTCAAATATTAATTCATCGAGAATGTCAACATATTGCGAGAAAATCAATTACTCAATCATAAGTTAATATGAAATAACGCTGAAAAACGACATCAGTTACAAAATTTGAAACTTTACATAAGCGATATTGCCATTGCTAAGTTGCGATTGAAACTGCCGAATGGATTATTATTATTATTATTATTATTGAATAAACTCAACCAAAAGATCACTACTCGAAAAATGGGAATACTCTTTCAAAGAGACGACAACTCAATAAAGTACAACTAATGTTGTCTGAATCACGAATCTCTACGAAAGAATACGGGACAGACGACGGAATGCGATGCGAAACGAACCGCAAATGATGATTACCTTACTGATTGTGCACTTACCAAATAATGAGTATATATATTGGTGATTTTTTAGGGGGACTCAATCTTTTTTAGATGTGCAAATAACATCAAAACTGGTTTCGGCTATATTGCACATTGTTGTGAGCAACAGATGAATCATTGAATAGCAGCAAGTGCAAAGGCAGGTTCGTGTTTGTTTTGTTGACTGCCTCTAAATTTTAAGCGCACTGGGCAAGGTGCCGGTCTCCGTGCACCGGGCGTAACAAGACGACTTGCCAGGACAAGTCAAGATTTATTGGACCGAACCAAGACTTGCCAGGTCGAGTTAAGCCAAGAATTACCCTGCCACACCAAAACCTGGCCAGTCCTGGTCTGGTGCGGTGGCGCAGGACTAGTACTTGCACACTCGCAATGGACCCTTCATAACTAAACACGATCCAATTGTGACTAAAACACTGGAAATATAAACAATATTACTCATTCATTAAAAAAAAACTTCCGACAGATCATCTCATTCTTTGGAACATCAGCTTGAATTGTTTACATGATATCGTTTGAACAATTTCATTCGGCTGAATTCAATGGGGAGAAAAAAATCGAAAACATTCAAATCAGTGCATTTCAGTCAATCAGCTGTAGTTGAAAACCGGTGAAGGAAAGCAATAAGAATATTACAGCAACAACGACATGAATAGCAGTAATTTTGATATGGCAATAACAATCAATAGAAAGATAATTAATAATAGTCATATGATTGTGTGACAACAGCAAAAAGTGCGTTTGCAATACAACGATAAATAACCACAATAATAACTTATTATCATCATTTTAAGTATTCAACCATACCATTGTTACAACAATTAATCACATTTGATAGAATAGCGTTAGTACAAATCATCCATCTCAAAGCCGATCTGAAACTTGCCGTACTTGATAAGATAACACAGCGGTAACGTAACGTCAACTTGTGGTTGACTATCAATACCATAAGAATTAATTGAATACAATCTGTGGGTATGATGGCTGAGCATACAACTAATTTATAAGTGCATAAACACCGCGGCAGAGAGCACACACTCCAGTGCAATTGCCTCAACTGTACTCTACTGTGAGTAATTAAAGGCTAATGGTACCCCAACAAAACAACGCTCGAGTCACTGCAGAAATTTTAGAAATTTTCTCGCAGCTCTTCTCACGACCACATGCAAACGTCAGATGATTTCGAGGGAAATTCTATTAGAATTCTATCAAATGATGAACAATTCTCAAAAAATGTTCCCCACTACAGAGTGATAAATCAGTCTATATAGACACGACAATGCAATAACCTACTCATTATG